ACTGATTAAAATCTGATTATAGTAAAATCACTAATATTGCTAATATAGTTTTGATTTACTTAGTTGATTTACCACCCAATATATATGCACCCTTGCATAATTCTTGCAGATTTTAGATTACATGACTTATAAGCCTGTTTAAGCTGGATTATTTTGAACACTAGTCAACTTATGTACCCCTTGCATAACCTCTGCATACGTAATGCACCCTTTACATAATTTTTATCTACTTATACACTATTGCATAACCTCTGCATGATGCACTCTTGCATAATTTTTGTCTACTTATACACCCCTTACATAACCCTGTATAATGCATCTCTTGTATAATTTTTGTCTATTTATGCACCCCTTGCATAGCCTCTGCATACTTATGCACCACTTGCATAACTCCTATCTGCATATGCACTTCTTGCATAACCCTACATATGTAATGCACCCTTGTGTAATTTTTGTCTACTTATGTACCCTTGCATAACCCCTGCATATTATGCACTTCTTGCATAATTTATGCATGTATATGCATCTCTTGCATAATTCTTGCATATTTTAGATTACACAGCTTATAAGCCTATTTAAGCCAGATTATTTTGAACACTAGTATAAGTAGACAAAAAATATGCAAAGGTGCATCATGCATGCAGGAGTTATACAAGGGGAGCATAAGTAGACAAAAAATATGCAAGAGATGCATTATGTATGCAGAGTTATGCAGGGTGCATATTTTGCAAAAATTTACAAAGTTTTTATATATTAAATATATAAAAAGCTTTGTAAATTTTTGCAAAATATGCACCCCTGTATAACTCTGCATGCATAATGCACTCCTTGTATATTTTTTGTCTACTTATACATCTCTTGCATAACCCCTGCATGCGTGATGCACCACTTGCATATTTTTTGTCTACTTATGCACCCTTTGCATAATCCTTACATGCGTGATACACTCCTTGTATATTTTTTGTCTATTTATGCACCCTTGCGTAACTCCTGCATGATGTACCCTTGCATAATTTTTGTCTACTTATGCACCCCCATGCATAGCTCCTGCATGATGCACCCCTTGCATAATTTTTGTCTACTTATGCACCCTTGCATAGCCCTGCATATTATATACCTCTTGTATGACTCCTGCATATATATGTACTCTTTGCATAACCCCTGCATACATAATGCACTTCTTGCATAATTTTTGTCTACTTATGCACCCCTTACATAACCCTGCATATTATGTACTCCTTGCATAATTTATGCATACATATGCACCTCTTGCATAATTTTTGTATATTTTAGGTTACACAGCTTATAAGCCTGTTTAAGCCAGATTATTTTGAACACTAGCTACAATTGTCTTTGTCAAGATTCCAACCACTGAAACCTCTTTCCCGAATCTCTTTGTTTCGCCAGGGTTTTCGAGTATGAATTTTTATAAAACGATGATTGTTGCAAGAAATTTCATCTTTGTAAAGATATTAATACAAAATAGAAATTAGTATTTGAAAATCAACTTGTATAAATTCTTTGAATATGATGAATTCGTTATAAATTATTGACTTAGTAATTAAACAGTTTGAACTTACCATTTATTTCATCAACTTCTAAATCGTCAATTAGATCAAGCGATTTTGTAATATACCATCCAGAAAGCAATGGTCTTGGCAAAGAGTAATTCGCATAAAAATTTAAATCTGAAACACATTCATCTTTTCCACCGTCAAGCCAAAAATGTAATGTCTGAAGCGTATTGTAATGTCTTAAAAGATCAAGGTCGATATTCTTTTTGTTGGTATGTGGAACAAACGCTTTAAATAAACCATACATAGACTCCTTAACACCACATGCCATATTGAACAAAGTCCTATAGTTTTTGGCATTTGCAATTAGATGCACATTAATGTGAAGATTCGGAAGATGAAGAAAGGTTTCTGGAAAAATCTAAAGGTAGTTATAATATCAAAAAATTCATAAAAAGACAATACATATATAATTACCAGGGTCTAGTAGGAAATCCCGACATTCAAATTTTGACAGGCCATAATACTGACATTCACGCAATGTGACGATTAAAAATTTAAAGCCTGACAATGTTTGTTAATATGATTACTAATTAATTGCCACGTTGTATGATATCAGTATTATTGTCTGTCGAGATTTTGGATGTCGAGATTTCCTACTAGACCCATAATTACCTTAATTAAATAATCATGTTCTTTTTTCAATGTTCGTTTTAGTGTTTCAAAA